CTGTAAATAATTGACAGATAATATTAATTGGCTTTGGATTAGTGAGCAAGCAGAGAATCACACATTAATATTTGATCAGAAGATGATAGCAACCCTGGCAGGGGATCCAAGGAGGGCAGCTGAGGCTGTAATGTTGATAAGAGCAAGGAAGGACTCTTCAAGGCTCTCCCTTTACCCTCTTCGAGAAAGACAAAAAAGAAATAAAAAGACTCAATGCTACTGTTAACTTTAGGCTGTTACCTAATGCAAAAATCTTACTAGCTGCAAATTGCCAGCTACATGTGTTGCCAGAAAACAGTTTTCCAAATGTGTTTTGACTTTTTATTTTTAATCAGATACCTCATTTAGCCAACTACAGACACTGGGTTGATAAACCTCTATAGGAAACAGTTTTAAGTAGGACCAGATCACAGCTCTTTCAAGGCTGACTCAACTACATAGTGGGAGAGAAAGCACACTCCTTTGCAAACGTATAACAATATTTATCAACAATTTGTAAGAACTAATTAAAGTAGCAGTGAACATCTCTGCTCATTTGGAAACAAATTTTAAATGTTTCATGATAGTACACATCAAGACAAAGGTTTGTCAGTATAAAAAAATATGGTAATACAACCTAATATGAAGTTATGTTCTATTTAATACAATTAGACTTGTTAAGAAAAAACAAAAAAATCTAGACAAATAATTTATACAACAGTCTATTTAAAACAGAACTCTTTCAAGGCCATCTGTTTTTCTAAGCAGTGTTTCCAAGACTGCCAAGTTCTATATTATCAGTGCATTCTTTAATTATGAAAATTAGTAGATAAAAATTAGATACTGTTTCGTGTCTAAAATATCATACCCGGAAAAAATTAGTTATTTATTCAAAGAAATTATCAGTATCCTGTATAGTATCTAACATTTGTGTGCAATTGTGATCATTTTCAATTGTTTGAAGCTTAGCATGTTGAATACATTGTTACCAGATGCTTGACTTTTTATAAAATGTTTCCACAAGTTTTGATCATTATGTAGGGAGTAAGGTTTTGTAAACAATCTTTACTGCTCAATTATTGTTATACTGCACTGGAGTTAGGGCTTGAGGGGAAGAGAATCATTTTATGACATATACACCATATACTTTTATTTTTAAAATTGGTCCCCACCCTAGATTTCTCACTGGCAAAGTTTGTTTTACTAATGCATTAGTTGATTGGCTGTTCAATTGCTAACAGATGCAAAATTTTCATGAAGCTAGATTCACTTTTACTAAAGTAATTAAAATACACAGCAAGTATATTTTAAGAACAAGTTAACAATAACTTCTTATGTTAAATTTTCTACATGGTTAGAAGTTTAGGTAATTTTAATACTTCACTCTGATTTTTATATTTTCAAACCTTTATAGGCAAGCAGAATACAAGTACAAATATAATCAATGTGAAATGCAAAAATAAAATAAGCCACTAATATAAAAATAACAGAAGATTTCAGGTTCTAATATGTCCTCAGTTTTGAGTGGAAGTTCTCAAATCCACATATAGATGAATATAAAATATTTTAAGGGTCCAATCCTTTGAATACCTGTGAATAATTTTACTCACATGAGGTTACACACACACACACACACGTGTTTTCAGTATGCTGCACAGAACACATCTCCACATCTCACAAATATGAACACACTATTTATTAGTAGGCTGCAGATTTGACAACCAGAATCAAGCAGACTATTATGATGGACATTCTATTTTAAATATTCATAAAAAGGAACTACGTTATTTACATTTAAAGATAAACTTTCATGAGCTTCTAGAAATGCATTGCGGGGGAGGGGAGCCTAATTTGGAATCTAGGGAATTAGACATCTTATAAAATTGGATGAAAGGATAATAGGGGACTGGTATTCTCATTTAAACAACAGTTTTCTGGTAAAACATGCCATCTTGTTCCCAATTTGAGAAAATTCCCTGTTGAGCATATTTAATTTTTTGCCTTGCCCAGGTTTGTCTGGGGATATGTACAAATCTTACAGACACATTTATCAAAATAAATGTTTTTTGGCCTTCATATTTTCTGAGACAGTTAAAATCACCAAAAGATATAAAGGAATATACACTCATAACACATGGTTTACCACCTTGCTTTAAAATTAGGGTCCAAGAGGTCCTGCCACGTACACAGAAGACCTTTCCACTATCAAGGTGGATCAAACTTTATAACCAACAACATTTAACCCAAAACCCTCACATCATGTACAATTTCTATTCCACACTTCCTTTAATGGCCACATAGTAAAAGGTATCTGCTCTTTAGTTGGCTCTCTCGGAAATTCCAAGCCACATTCTCCACTAAAATAACAGTTTAAAAAATTACTAGCCAACCCAAGATTCCAATAATATTTATCAAAATTCATATATACTTCTTACTTCTTGGATGAGATCCTCTACTTAAGCAACTTACTGGTGCAAAGGCCTCAACTAAGCACATACTCACTGTTCAAGAGATTTCACATTCCACATGTTTACATATACCTTGGGAAGCAATTCTGCATCAAAAACCATCCTTCCAACAAACTGAATTACCTTGTATGTCAGCAAACATGTTGCTATTATAGGCCAAGATCTACTTTCACTTAAGGCACTTGTCATGGAGCAAATAAGATTTTAATGGTTTTTGCTAGTGCTTTGATATCTTAGAGGTTTACTTCCTCTTAGAAGTCATCCCCATTAAACTGCAACTGTATAAAAGTCATTTAAAAATGACTAAAGACAACCAAAGATCAATACTCCAGAAACACCAGCTAAGGGATTTTGTAAAGTATCTTAACTTTGTCTGTGGAACAGCATAGGCTTTAAGTCTTTACCTTGATATTTGACTTTTACAAAAACCTATATATTTCCCTCCCTGTAAACAATCCTGCTTTCCCTCTCAGAAGTAGTCAGGGGTATAAGTGGAGGCATGTCTGCAGAAAAGGCAGCCTACATTTTATGGGGTTCTACACCCAGAAATAGTCTCGGGCCATGGTGAAGTACAAGTGACTGGAGAACACAGACAGTGTTTATTACCTATAGATCAAATAGTCTTTGCTCTCTAAAATGCAGATTTTTAAACAGTTCTCTGTTCCACATATGCACCAAATGTGTGTGCAGTGGTGGTGAGTGGAGCTAAATTTTTTCAACATGCCTATTCAAGTCTGTGTGTCTTTTGATTGGGCTACACGCTGAATAGGGTTTGGCAAAATTATTCTCCACCACTCAGAGAAAGCCAGACTAGAATTTAAATAGCTGCATGTACTTAAAATCCCTACTCTCACTACATTCTTTGTGCTGCAGAACGCTAGTACCCTGATGGAACCGGAGGCAGCGATCTCTTGGTGCAGATCTGCCAGATTTTAACTAAGCACAGATTTTGCCTTAATGAAACACTGTGCCAACCGACACTGAAATTGATGCATATAAATTGTGTTCTTTTCTCAGAAGATAATCACCTGATAGATGCAAGAGTACTGCCTGCTGGCCAATAAAGCCACGTAAGGGATCTATAATGTGAACTAACCAAAATAGATTACAAATGTTTAATAGTGCATCTCTATAAAAGAGAAAATTATTGATTGCCATAAAATAGGGCCATATCTACACTATAAACTTGCCAGTATAGCTATGTCAATCAGAAGTATGAAGAGGGTGTGGTCCCTGACCGATAAAGCTATGCCAACCAAACCCGTAAGTGTAGATGCAATTATATCGGCAAAAATATAGTTATGTCGGTATCGCTTATTTAATTTGGCATAGCTGGAATAAATGCAGTTTTGCTGGTCCAAGAGTCATCCACAGTCTGAGCTGTTTGCAGGTAAAATATACCCGTATACCTATACTCACAAAGCACTCCTAATGTACACATGGTCCCAGATACATAATGTTTACCTAATAAGATCAACAGCACTGGGATTTTAGATGACAGTTTTATGTAAAGTTTATTTGTGACAAAAGTACTTAATCTTTGGAAATGCTGGATTTACAAAAATATTTAGTGATATTAGGGATTTAGTCTTTAGGGATAATAAAAATATTAGTAAACAGCAAGCAAGTGTAATCAACACACAAACAGCAGGTTACCTTTGATTTGCTTTGTATTAAACTATCCAACATACCATACTGATACATGTACTCTGGGTAAATATTCAAGAATCTCTGCAAATTGTATTGTGTATTCAATAAGCTGAGTAATAAAATATGTGAAAGTTACAAAAACATTGGCCGTGAAGAGTGATTACCAAAATCCATAATTTAAGCAGCTTCACCAACATAACCTGGGATCAATGTTTTAAAACATCAGGAAAGCAGAATATTAAAGTACACTCAGCAATCTTTTGTTAAATATCCTGTTCTCTATCTTATGATCAACGTTCTAATTTTTCATCTCCTATTTATCCAAAGACATTTTTTGTTTTTTATTTTCCATAACTTAGGATAAAAATTTTTACCTAGCTCTTTAAAGTTATTGGAGGTAAATGCAGAGAACTATTCATTGCAAGGCTCTCTGCACCATTTAAGCCCTCAAAGCGTTTAGGAGTCCAAAGGGGTTTCTGTACCCTCTGTATTCTGGCAGGGGACTTTGTGTCTGAGCTTAACAGGCTGGTTATTAGAGAGACAAGGCGAGCCAACACAGCAACAACAACACTGCACCAAACAGGCTGGAGCAGATGATATGGTTGTTTGGCAGCAACCCAATGGAGGACTAGCAAATCCACATTAAGATTTGGTGGCCTAGAAACCTCATATAAACTATAATATTCCATCTTATTGGCTGGAATTGCAATTTCTGAGAGGTTATGCTGCCACCACACAGCCCTTCCCAGTTTGAGGAGCGATTCATCACTCAATCCATTTCCTACACAGTCAGGATGTGTTGGAGGGAGAAGGGGGACGGAGGCATGTGTGAATTTCACCCATAGTGCATAAACTACATTCACAGGTTATAATATTACTATATTTTACATCACAAAAGTAATT